TTTGTCCCAGCAATGAGAGAACAGTAACTAAGACAAACCTCCTAAAAGTACCTTTGCTTTTATAAAAAACAAACATCGTGTTTGATATTTAGACAGATAGTGAGGTTAAACCCAATTGCGTATGTTGTAGGGTAATAATTAGCTTCTCTTCTGGAGGGTTAACAACCTAAGTTTACAGATCAAAAATTAGAGAAAAAGAAGGGCTGCAAGGACAGTCAACATTTTGGCCCTAGCCTTTCAAGGTCAGTGAAGACTCAGGACATGGGAGAACCTATACTGTAACACCATGTAACTTAGTTGTGTCCCAAATTTTCTGATCAAGGAGATTATGGGGCCACAGAGCAATGTGATCCATGATGTAGAGTGTGCATAAGAGAGTCACATGGAGAGAAAACATTCTCTCAGGCTTTCACAGAGAGCAAATTGGTCAAGCAATGGCTGTGACTCATCCTTATGGCTGACACTGACAAAGGATCTACAAAGTGTGGTACAGGGCTACAGGATAAATCCAGAGGGGTTTTGACTGACCTTGTCAGATACAAAAGTTACATTTCTTGTTACATAGGTCTTGCTTTATCTTTGTCTTAACCATCCAGCAGAAAAGTATAAAAATGAGGTATATTTATAAAGTAAAGCCATATTAATATGCTGAGCTGTGAAAGGCTCAAGTCAACAACTTCTGACATTGCTAGTCCTATGGATAGCTCACTACTATTATGGACTACTGTACTATATTGGATTATTTTGCTGAGTTCACACACCTACAATATTTAAATGGCAATGAAATACTCATTTCTAACAAAACTAAACAAAAAAAGGGGATACAAAGGAAAGACCATGTTGTATTTGTATATACAAAATAGTTAAGATAGATATACAGCTACTTTCTCTTAATTCAATGAGAAGAAAGATTTGTACTAATAGTATTTGAACAGGATATCATGTCTTCATCTTGTACTATGAATAACCACTAAGAAGATGACAATATGCAATGTATTAATTATTGAAACTATATTAATTATTCAAACGGTTTTGAAACTGTCTCATTGCTATTTCTCAATAAAACTAATAAAAATAAATACATAAATAAACTTGATGTAGTTCTAGTGGAAAAAAACCAAACATCATGTCAAATTGCAAAGCAAAAGATGGTCATATATCAATTTTTGTTTGGAATTCCTAAGCATTTTTAGAAGTAATGGAGATAATGACTTTTATAAATTCAGGCTTTGTGCAAAGATACGTGCCTTTGTCAAAATTGTTATTTACTAATTAGATTGTGTCCTCTCAGTAAATTAGTCCAGAGAGTAGATGTTCAGAATGTGCTCCCAAGAGGAAGAAGTGTCCAACTTGCTCATACTCAGGTATCTGGTTGTGTTCTATTTCCTGTTTGTTCTCTATCAAGAGAGCAAGGTTGTACGATTAGCAGGTTCAGGTATGAGAAGTATCCAGTTATGGAGACAAGAGGGTCAGACCCATTGTGAAATCTTCAAAATAGTCAGAAGATGAATAAAATTGCTTTCAAGAGGCTATCTCATCACCCCCAAAGGAAGGTTCACATTAAATTCAAGATGACACCCTCATGACTGTTGCTGTTTGTATGTTTTGTTGTTATATCACAGTTGCCTGCAGAAGGGAAAGGCAGTGGATGCACACAAAACAGCGCTGCATGAACTATGCACCCCCCACCATTTGAGTGAGGGGCATCGCAGGCACAGAAGTATTTCCACAACCTCAGTGGGGAGCCGATCTCGATCAGCAGGTTCAGCTCCATGTGCAGGGACTCCACTGGCAGGGAGAGTTTTGTTCTGACAATCAGAATTCCAGCAAATGTTAAATGTTTCTTCACGCTGAGAAGTGGAAAATTCAATAATACTTTGGCTGAGTTCATGCTGAGTCGTGAAAATAGAATGAATACAGAGCAGGACTGTGATGTGAAGGGACACAAATCAGCTAGCCCAGACCTTTCGACTGTTAGCTTTTGATCCAAAGCACTCTCTGTCTCTGCCCCTTTCTCCAGGGTGGCAGGACTGGTTTTTTTCTATTTGTTCTTGGGATATGTGGTACCATAATCCCTTACTTACACCAAGACCTGGAATTAAGCACTCAGAGATCTTAAAAATAATTCTGTTCTTTTGTTATTATAGAAGAATATTATGGCACAACAGGCCCATTTACTGACACTGCTATGTTAAGATAACACAAAAGGCAAAATTGGTAGTAATTAATCAGCTTATAGTAAGAGTATCATTTATACTTGGACACGTCTTTCTTCTGTGAGTTAGAAGTTTCAGAGGGTGTCACCAGAAGGGAAGTCCTGTGAAGAGAAGGATTTCTGCCTGTTTTGTTTATTATTGCAACAGCAGCACATAGAAAGTGCCTAAGATGTCTATGAACGGATGTGAATGTGCAGGCTGTGGGCTTTCTAAAAGGCCCGGCTCAAAGTCAGCTTAACTGATTTCACATTAGGTGTGCTGCTACAGAAAAGCTTGGATTCCACAGAAGAAGCATTTGTAATGTATGTCTTTCTTAAAGAGTTACCCCACTAAAGGCTGATCATAGAAAAATTAGTACAATCAACCAAAGCAAAATAAAATAGTCATGGTTGAGGGGTCGGGGAGATGGCTCAGTGGAATAAGTGCTTCCCTGGCAAGTGCAAGGGTCTGAGTTCAATCCCCTGTTCTGCCAAAATAAATAAATTAATAAATAAAATAGCCATGGTTATAATTTAAATTTTACTTCTTCCACTTTTTTCTACACACATACTCATATATTTTATAGTCATTACATTAGATTACATTGTTTTTTATTAGAATATTACACGAACCTTTATTTGTGTTAATAAATGCCTGTATCCTCTTACACTCATACCACAGTAAAATAATTTAAGAATATGCTAGAAATTAATCTGTCCCCTTGGATTGTAACTTTCAGTTGTATTTAGTTATTTCCCTCATCGTGAAGTTCACGGGCTTGCTTATTATAGGAAGAGATTTGCTGGTGAGCTGTTCACAAGGGTGGGCCCAGTGATTTAGTGTGTGTGTCCTTAGTCTTGAGCTCTCTGCTCACTTTGTGTCCTCCCTTACTGGCTCTGTGAGAGCACAGTGGCTTCCCGTGCGAGCTGGGGTGCCAGCAGTGCTCAGGGCTGGGCAATATTAGATCTATTTTGCTTTTGCTGATAACTTACTGCATTTGGTTTAATCTTTACTCACTTACCAAACACTTCTGAGAAGGAAAGAATTATGGGTTGAGAGCAGAGAGGAGATGAAGGAACGATGAATCAGTATCTAGCTTCTTATGAATGGAATATTAGTTAATGGAATATTAATTCCATAATCGTAGTAATGGAATTATATGGCATATATTATACCGTATATTATGTAATATATATTTTCATACTGATTACTCTCATTTAAAATATATGTGTAAGAGTTGTTCATCTCTTTGGTTTGATAATTTATTTTCTTTTTATCATTGAACGAAATTGCATTGTATGGGTGTACTACAATATATTTATCTGTTAATCTGCTGAAGAACATAACTGCTGTTTCCAGTTTTGGATACTTCTGAGTAAAACTTTAACAAGCATTCATACACAGGTTTTTATGTGTACCTTGGTTTTTCAATCAGTTAAATTATCATTACATCATACGA